TAGGTTATCTATTCTATATTTAGAAGGCTATATCTCAGTAGGCGTGCACTTTTGTATATATGTAAGTTAGGCTAAATAGTCTTATTTTCATCCAAGGAACCTGCGGTCAAGCGTTGTCCACTCTTTTCAGGGACTCCCTGTATATGCGGCACAGGTCATAATCAATGTTTTAAGTTTTAATATAATACACTGTAAAAAGATTTCACTCAAGTTCCACTAAATTTTACTGAATAATGTATCAATTTCTGTCCAAACCCGATTATGAATACAACTGATTGTGAGTGAACCTATTGCATCAGAAATGAGTGAGTTTTAAAAACAACTTTTTAATTTTCTCCTTTTAGGGCCCGTAACTTGTTATATTTAAAGCGGTATTTAAAAAGGTATATGAGCAAATTATCTGTTCCAGACCATATATTTAGGTATATCTACTTCAAAGTAGATTATATGTATTTTATCCTATTTACTGACCATGGACATTAAAATTTATTTATTAACAGGTAATGTTTACAACATACAGGTTGAGCACATGATCTAAAGTCATTAATTGTGTTTCAATTTTTTTGGCATGTTAACAGTATTTAATTCTTGTTATGTAAATGTGTCGAAAAATTCATGACACAACTTTTCTACGTTTGTCTAAATGAATGTAACATTTTTGATAGCGATATAACGTTTGAGTAACGCCCAAACAGTATGATAGAATGATATGACAACCCACCAATTCTTCTTAATTTTTTGTTACCATATTAAATTATTGTATCATTATTAGATTTATTCATTTATTGCAAGTAGTTTTGATGCAATTGCATTTAAACAAAAAAAAATATATGAAAATCTTTATTAATGTTTATATTTGGTCACGATATACTTTTTTGTCAGTTATTTCATAGCTTGCTATTATTTATTAAAGTTAAATATGGATCACATGCAGAAACTTAACTCGGAAACAAAGCAAAAACATTTTTTTTACATTTTTTAATCAGAATATCACCTCGTACATATTTCTCAAATATTCGTTTCGAGTTATGAAACACCCTGTATATATTAATGTAAACGATACAGTCCTGTTGGAAAAACTTTTAAACTGAAAATCTTGCATGTTTAAGAAAACTTTTGTCCTGGCAGAGTTCACAAAGTAAAATAATGTGATTGTAACTGCAAACGAATGTCATTGAGAACGTATAGGTATAGAGTTAGTTGGTGTTCAGTCGCATGTACGTATGTTACTTTCCCAGCAATTATTGATTTAAAGAAGATATCGTACGGATAATAATTGTGTATAATATGTAGGTTTTAAAATTTCGCTGTGCTATTTCTGTATTCAATAAAAAATAGTTTATATTTATTTAATTCTATA